CTTCCCTTCAGACTCTTTCTCCTCCTCTTCCTCCTTCTTCCTTTATTCCTCCTCCCTCCTGACCTTTCCCGTCCTCCTTTCTCTTTCCTTGCTCCTTCTTCTTCTCCTACTCTTCCTCCACTTCCTCCTCCTTCTTCTCTCCTCCCTCCTCCTCCTCCTCCTCTCCTCCTCCTCCTCCTCCTCCTCCCTCCTCCTCCTCCTCCTCCTCCTCCTCCTCCTCCTCCTCCTCCTCCTCTCCCTCCTTCCTCCTACCTCCTCCTCTCCTCCTTCTCACACCTCCTCCTCCCTGTTTTAACAATGAAGTACATTTTAGCCTACGTCATACTCCGAAGAGTTGGTATGACGTCAGAAAACTCCTCCTCCGCCTCCCCCTCCACTTTCCCTTCACTTCCTCCCCTCCTCTCCTCCTTTCCCTCCTCCTCTCTTTCCCTCCTCCTCTCTCTCCTCCTTCCTCCTCTTCTCTTTCTCTTCCTTTAACCTCCTCCTCTTCCTCCTTCTCCACTACATCTTCACCACCTCCTCTCCTTTCCTCCCTCCTCCTCCTCCTCCTCCTCCTTGACTTTTAATAAATGACGTATTTTTTCGCCTACGTCACACCCGAAGAGTTGGTGTGACGTCAGGAAACGCAAGTCACGTTCAGGTATTTTCTGATGACTCGCATTTACGCTCAAGTCGGCTGTGTGTTTGTTTGTGTGTAGGGTGTAGGGTGGAGTGTGTGTGTGTGTGTGTGTGTGTGTGTGTGTGTGTGTGTGTGTGTGTGTGTGTGTGTGTGTGTGTGTGTGTGTGTGTGTGTGTGTGGTGTGTGTGTGTGTGTGTGTGTGTGTGTGTGTGTGTGTGTGTGTGTGTGTGTGTGTGTGTGTGTGTGTGTGTGTGTGTGTGTGTGTGTGTGTGTGTGTGTGTGTGTGTGTGTGTGTGTGTGTGTGTGTGTGTGTGTGTGTGTGTGTGTGTGTGTGTGTGTGTGTGTGTGTGTGTGTGTGTGTGTGTGTGTGGTGTGTGTGTGTGTGTGTGTGTGTGTGTGTGTGTGTGTGTGTGTGTGTGTGTGTGTATTTGAGGCGGTTATAGGAGAAAGGAAGTGAGACAGACATAAAGAGATTGCACTAAATACTGAGAAGTAGGGCATTCTTAGAGACACACGCTCACGTATAAACAGATAAACAAACACATAAACAAGGACAGACAGAGTTTACAACAAACACTATAGAGGCATTCTGAAATTCACTTTCGGTTCCTTCAGAAATAAGTTCATACTAAGCCTACCCAAACCTCTTTACTAAAAACAACAAACAGCCAACGAAGAGTACTATGGTCTTGAAAGCTGACCCCATTCCATCTCAACAGTTACTCATTTCCGCAAACTGGCTCCGCGTGGACGCAATTCCTGCCGTGGCGAGCGGCCGCGTCCGTTCGGGGCGTCCCGTGACGCGGGTGATGGCGAGCGGGGAGGATGGGTAAATGCTGTACAAAAAGATCACTTATTTACACCCACGCAGTACACACGTGCTTGCTCATACATGAGCACGCACGCCTATGAAAACACACATGCACACACACGCACGCACGAGTGCGCGCGCGCGCGCACACACACACACACACACACACACACACACACACACACACACACACACACACACACACACACACACACACACACACACACACACACCTTCGTACACAAAAAACATAAACAAAAGCACTTCTCACTGTTGATATTCACAGATGCAGAAAATAAACTGATGAACAATTAAGAAAACAAAAATATCCAACTGCAGTCTGCTGTTCTACTTAAAAGGCGTCGATGACCCGCGCACAAGTTGTAAAAATCCCGAACTAGTTTTAAAAATTATATTTGAGAAGTGAGAGAGAGAGGGGGGGGGGGATCGCAGTGACATAGGATTAACAAGTTTAGAGAGTAAGAGACAGAGAAGAGAGAGAGAGCGAAATAAAGAGAGAGACGCACACATAAAGACAGAGAAAGAGAGAGAGAGAGAGAGAGAGAGAGAGGAAGAGAGGCGAAAACGCGTGTGGACTTTCAGTACCTAGCCCCATACCTGCCTGATTACGTAAGTGTATGTGTAAGTACTTATCATCCCGCCCCTTTTTTCTACGAATTTCCTCATGTAACAATGAGTACTCCAAAATACACGTAAAGCACTTATCGTAAAACCATATAGTGATATCGCAATCTGCTCCCGATCCATCCAGGTGTCACTCACGTAGATTATATTACGATAAAGCTACAGATTTTTGCGTTGTAATGGCAGACCTTTTTGTAGGAAGATAAGGGCAGAGACTGATCTGTGATGAGGCTGATTATTCCAAGACTCATAACATGTTACATAACCGTAGAATGGTATTAGATTACAAATACACACACACAGATATATAGATAGATAGATATGTGTGTGTGTGTGTGTGTGTGTATACATACATATATATATATATATATATATATATATATATGTGTGTGTGTGTGTGTGTGTGTGTGTGTGTGTGTGTGTGT